CCATTAGACACTAAAAAACACATGGTAATGAACTTTTCCCTCAGACCTTCCAGAAGGACCCAGCCAGCCCCACTGATACTTTGACTTTGTGATTTTGGCATATTACTATTTTAAAGGCATTAAGTTCGTAATAATCTGTTAGCGTAGCAGTAATAACAGTTTGTGTCCTTACCAAACTTTGATGTGAGAAGTTTTTTTTTTTGACTGTTCTAAATAGTGTGAAATACTGCTGCATTGTGGTTTTAATTTACATTTTTCTAATAATTGTTGATACCAAAAAAACCTGTAAACTTTAACTCTTCTTTTTCATGAAATATTTGTCCAATGTCTTGTCCAGTTAAACAAAATACTGAATATCGTTTCCTTTGAAAAGATAGTTTTTTTTGTTTTTTGTTTTTTTGTCTTTTTATCGGTACCGGGGATCGAACTCAAGACTGCCTGCTTCCAAGGCAGGCGCTTATGCCATTGAGCTAAATCTCCAGCCTCGAAAAGATAGTTTTTTATACTATCTACTTTTGTATAGTCTTGTCTTTATTGTAAAATTTTTTGTTCAGTCTGTGACTTGCATACTCATATTTTCATTGCTGCTTTTGGTAAGCATTTTTTATTTTGGTTTGTTTTATATAGCTTTCTTTCATACTTTGTGTACTTCAAAATCATGAAAATATGTATTTAGAAGTTTTAAGATTCTGCTTTCCTATAAGGATGGTATGAAATGGTAGTTGAGAATTATTTCACATTATTGAAAAGTTGTTGAAAAATAGATTAATTCAATGTTTTGGTGGAAAATGAGTTGACTATATGCATAGTTCTATTTCTGTACTTTGTATTTCTATAATTGTTTTTTTCTGATGCCTACTCTACTTTTAATTACTAAGGCTTCTTAATAGGCAGTTTAAGTCTTCAGATTACCTCTTTTCTGCATTAGTTTGGGTTATTCTAGATCTTTTTTGTTTGTTTGTTTGAATCTTAGCATTGTCTTTATCAATTTCTTCAAAAAACAAACCAGAAATAACATTGCTGTAATTTTGATAGGAATTATATTGGTCCCATACCTCAAACTGGGAAGAGTGAATACTTACTAAACTCAATTGACATTTGATCCTGGATGTTCTGAATTCTTCCTCATACTCGTTTTTTTTCTCTTTGTTCCAATTTTAAAGTTTTTAAGTTGGTCTGTTTTCAATATCATTGCTCAGTTTTGTCAGATGTACCTAATGAAATCTTTATTTTCTGCTACTGTGCCTTTTGGGTGGGCGCAGGACAGTACTGGGCATCGGATCTTGGGTCTTTACCCTCAGGCAAGCCATTTTTATTTTTGTTTTTAGACAGTCTTGCTAAGTTGCCTAGGCTGGCCTAGAACTTGGGATTCTCCTTGGAGTGCAGGGATTACAGGCATGTGTCTCCATATTTGGTTTGTATTTTTCATTTCTAGCATTTCCCCATGATCCTCTTTTATTTTTAATGTCTGTGATAAATTTCCTATTTTATTACACATGTGCCTGTCTTCTTGGTTTTTTATAGCTACCTTAACTACTGTGTCTGATAATTTCAGATTTCAACATGTAGCCCATTTCTGATCTGAGTATATTTTTATTATTTTTCCAAATCGATTTTATTTTAGGGAGAAGAGGGAAAAGAAAGAAGAAAAAACACACTAAAAATTTCAAAATACATCAGGGCGGCAACAGTGGTACATACATTGTACATTGTCATCCTCAGATGATTTACCAAGGACACAAAACATCTGCATTCAATTGTCCAAACAATACAGGAACAAATCTTTCTCTTCAGTGAGCTCATAGAAATCAGCAGTCGAGATTTTGAGTTCAATCCTCGGTACCACTCCCAAATAATAATACTACAACTGTCTTAACTATTTTTTATGTATACATACACATACGTTGTTTTTTTCAGCTTCTTACACTAAGGAGACAATACGATGTTTACATATGTGTTTTATTTCACTAATGAATATGGTCTGAAATTATATCCATTTACCTATAAAACTCTCCAGTTTGTCCTCCTTAATAGCTGAGTAGTACTTCACTGTATGAAAATACCACATTTTTAAAATTTATTCTTCAGTTGATGGGCATTTAGGTTGTTTTCAAGGTCTTAATTTGAAATCTGGAATTGGAATGCTTCCGACTTTGCCCTTGTTGCTCAAGATTGTTTTTCCTTTTCTGGATCTTTTTTGATTCCTTGTGAATTGTAGCATTATTTTCTCTTTCTGTGAGGAATGCTGTTCGTATTTTGATTGGGATTGCATTAAATCTGTATCAGTTTTGAAAGTGTGGCCATTTTGACAATACTGGCTCTATTGGAACAGGATTTTTCCCCTTTTTTGATGTCCTCTTTGATCTACTTTTTCAGAGTACTTTAAGGTTTCTTACAGAAGTCTTTCATTTCTTTGATTAGGTTAATTCCCAAATATTTTATTTTTCTTGAAGTCACTATGAATGGTATTGTTTTCCTTCTTGGAGGGTTTGTTATGGTACACAGGAACACTATTGAATTTCGTATGTTCATTTTGTATTCTGCTACTGTGCTGAATGTATTCTAGGAGTCTTAATGGAATTTGGGGGGACCATCATGCCACGTTGAATAAGGATACTTTGATTTCTTTTTTGTGTGTATTCCTTTTCTTTGCCTTATTGATTTGGTTAAAGTTTTTGAGTACTGTATCAACATAGAAGAGTGGTGATAGTGGACATCATGGCCTTATTGCTGATTTTAGAGAGGAAAAACTTTGTTTTTTCCCATTTAATATATTGTTGGCAAGTTTATATAAATGGCTTTTATCAAATTGAGATAATGTCCTATAACTGTTTTCCTCAGGGTTTTTGTCATGAACAGATGCTGAATTTTTGTCAAAGGCTTTTCTGCATCTGTTGAGATGCTGGTACGATTTTTGTCCTTCTATTTAGGTGATATATTACATTTATTGAGTTGTGTATGTTGAACCTGGGATTAAAACTACTTGGTCATGCTGTATGATTTTTTTTAATGATTTGGCACAAAATTTGCCAGGATTTTGTTTAGGATATATGGATCTGTATTCATTAAGAGATTTTTGCAGTTCTCTTTTTTAGTTGAGAGCCTTTGTATGGTTTTGGAATCAAGGTAATGCTAACTTCCAGAAGTGAGTTTGATAAAGTACTCCTTTCCTTTTAATTTCATTATAGAATTTGTGGATTATAAATCTTCCTTGAAGACAAAGCAGGGAAAGTGGTACAGAATTTCAAAATAGGACAATAGATTGTCAAAATGGCTACCATAACATCTTATTATCTTTACAACAATTGTCCAATTCCCTCAGGCACAGTAAAATCAAATCAAACAAAACAATAAAACCGATGAAAACAGCATTGAGTAAAACAACAGTAAATTGCAATGAAACAAAACAGAACAATACTGGGTTTCAAAAACCAAGACAGAAATTCCCCATACTTGACGTATTGTGTGCTATCATCCTCCCAATAGATGCTCAGACGATTGGCCTTAATCTTGCAAAGTCAATCAAACAGTGCAAGCATTTAGTTGTATTTATATCTCGGCAGCTATCATCTCAGCCTGCCCTCTGAACCAGCCAATTGCTTACCAGAGTGGGGAGAGTTGGTGGTGGATGTTGATTCTTAGTGGGCCTTGTAGTTTGAGTTAGTCTTACCATGCATCTTAAATTATTTTAACTCATAGATTCCTGGTTGAGGAAAATGAACATTGAAATAGAATGAAGACATTTTTCTGGGTAGCATGTGGTATTTCTTGGTAGATCAGTACTTATTAAAGCACCTAGAAAACCCAGGTAATTTACAGAAATTATTTAAAGATAGAAAGTGGAGGGCTCGGGTTTTAGCTCAGTGGCACAAGCTCTGGTATGGCATGTGCTAGGTTATGAATTCGATCCCCGATTGAAAAAAAAAAAAAAGAAAACTGGAATTAAAATGATTAAAGGAAGTCAAAATTCTACATTGAGGGATATCTTTAAGGAGTAAGCCAAGAGGATATGCACCTGATTGCAGAGTATTGCTTTTTCTGGACATGAGGAGGGAGCCTTTAGGCGGGAGCCTGGGATTTGGGTGTTAAATTGGAAATGTGAGGGACCTGTAAATACAGAAACCTCTCTTCCATATATTTGCTGGGTTTCACTGCCCAATTGGGCTGAAGAGAGAAGCTATAATCTCAGCAATGGAGATTGAGATTTCTTCCAGTTCTGTGGCCTTGAGATAAAGATTGAATAGGGGAGTAACCCTGAGAACAAACCGTGGTGAATACACTGATGATTTTCATCTTATATACCATTTCTTTCTCTTCTAGTCGTTTGATGCTTCTTAGACTGAGAGGCTAAAAGGCTAAATTCAAAATTCTTTTAAAAGGAAAGCAGTTCTTAAAGTATGTATCAAGTAAGATGATAAGGACCTGCTATCCTTTCAAATGAAAGCCCTACAGAGACTTCCTTAGATCAGGGACAAACCTGGTGTAGGGTTTAGTTATGTTTATCACGAAAACTGCAGCCTAGCTATAGTCTGTGTTTTTAACATTATAGAGCAGTGACGGGGAACCTTTTAGAGATGGGTGCCAAACTGCAACCCAAAACCCATTTATTGCAAAGTGCCAAAGCTGTAATAAAAATCTGAATGCTAAGGTTTTAGTTTAGAAAAAAATAAGTTCTAGGTTAACATGTTTTGTCTTAGAAAAATAGCATGCGTGCCATAGGTTCACCACTACTGTTATAGATGAAGCAGAAGAGCATATGTATGAGATCATTAATAAGTGAAGGATAAGTAAGGAAATATCCAGGGTAACCACTAAAAGAACAATGAATGTATAGTAAGAATAAAAATAAAAATTAATGGAATATACTGTATATGATATAATCAAAGGAGAAAAAGGATCATAGACAACCAAGTTAGTAATTACATTAAAGGTATGAAATATTCCAAGTAAAAGGCAACAATTATACTGGACAAGTAATATCCAAATATTGCTTCTTACAGGAGATGCACTTAAAACCTACCATGCCCATGATTCTGGATTCTGTCTCCAGTGCTGTAAACCAAACCAACCAGACAAATAATGAAACAAAGTAAAACAAGAACCCAGAAAGGCTCAGAGAAAAATGGTAGGAAAAGAAGTACCGTTGAAATGGTGACTAAAAGAAAGAAGCTATAATTATAGTAATTGGACAAAGACTGTAATAGAAGTAAAGTAGAAAAAGAGTTACATTTTGTAATATAAAGGAATTGATCTTCCGGACTTGCCATAGTTCTAGATCTATACCAAGTAACATACTTTGAACAACTATTCAAACTTTTTGGTTTTGCACTGAAAAGAGAAAGACCAGTATGCAGTGACATACTTGTGAGAACTTTTAGTGTTTCTCAAAAGTTGATAAACTGAGCAGTGTATAGAAGATATGTATATTAAAGTTAAGACTTAATTGAATTGTCATACAGTAAATATTGAAACAGTTAATGATGGAATTAATATTATTTATTCTTGGAAGTTGTACCAAAAGTGGCCATGTGCTGGGTCAACAGATTCCATTATTTTTTAATGATTATGTTCTTTGACTACATTATAGTAAATAGAAACTAATAGCAAAAGATAATGAGAGCAATCCCAAACTGGTTAGAAATTAAACTATATGTACTTTTTATATTGTTAAAAAGTACTGAGGTTTGAGCTCAGGGCCTTGTAATGAGCTATATGTCACTGGGACTAAAGTATCAGAAACTAGGGAACTTCAAAGAAGTTTATTTTACTCATAGTTTCAGTGGATTCAGTCCACTTATTTGGCTCCAAGACAGAAATGGCATGGATATAAGGTCATGGGAGAGGACAGCTGCTCACATTGTGGTAGGGAGCAGAAAAGAGTCAGAGAAGATCCAGCCAGGGACAAGTATATTTGCCTCCTTAACAGAAGGCTTAGCAGGGAACTAATAAACATGAATCTACTGCATGTAGTTTCTCCCACCAGATCAAGTCACCTTTCAGAAGCACTGCCTCTGACCACAGGGACTTGTGAGGGAAGATTGTGGCTCTTAGCCATTATAATCTCCAGTCCATATTTGTTTTGAGACAGGGTCTCAGTGAGTCATTAAGTTGTTTAGGCTAGGCTCATTAACGTGTAATTCCCTGCCTTACCCTCCCAGAGTGCTGCAATTGCAGGTGTGCTGTTATACATGTAAATAACCTAGGACTTGAAGCAGAAATCATGATGGAATTTAGATGTTTTGGTTGAAAATGAAGATCTCTCAGAGACTGAACAAAGTTCCTAGCATAATAGTATGTCTCTGGTCAGAGTATTAGTTCAGTTTGAAGTGGGAAGATATAGAACTTTAGGATGTGAGGGCTCCTTGAATAAGAGGACTAACTGATTTCTGAAATACTAGGTGGTAGTTTTCCAGTATGTGAAAAATTTAATCGAAGGATGCAGAGAATTTGTGATAGTTACATAGGAAGCTAAGCAAATGGAAAAATATAGCCGCTTTTGTGTTCTAGAGAATACAGAATACAAAAACAAGCTTAGGTGGTAGTTCACTAATGGTAACAATACTATGTACATAGTTACTTAAATGCAATTGGATGATAGTTATTTTGTTGTAGGAGGCGAAATATAAGGGGTACAAGGGAAATAAATTCTCATTTCATGATCTATAAATCATACCAGTATTTGATACTTCAAGATTACCACTATAATCTTAAATAACAGAAATAAAATAAAAATGATAGTATTTTAAAGAACTTCACATTGAAGGAAGAGGGACTTTGTTCTGTATATATGTTACTACTTAGATACAAAAGAAAATGTAGTATGTTAAAAAAAAAGAGAGGCTGACTAATGATCCTCTCAAGGAAGGTGAAAGTGAACTGAATCTATTCTTAACAGACTTACCTTTCATTTCAAAACAATTTTTTTTGTACTTACTGATGCATTTCTCTTCATATATCTTCTGATTTTGCTTTAGGATGCTTCGGTCATGAAAACTTAAGTTGGGAGAGTGAAGTATTTTTTAATACAATTTTGTTGTCTTTTTAAGAATAGATAGAAGTTCTAAAAATGAGGAAAACTTGCTTTCTGTGGAAGTAGGTTGACATTATTAAGAGTTAAGAGTAAAGCAGTAGTGGTAGTGGTAACAGTTTTCAAAGTATTGATAGATTTTACTTGCAAGGTTATATTTCTATTTGCTCAAGACTTTGAGTCCTTACATTCCCATGAGTGGAAAAGGGAATGTCAGAAAGTATGTGGTGAAAGTAGTAATTTGAACTTGTATCCTGTCTTGCAGCTTGCTTTCTATAATATATTGAAATTGTTCCTTGGTTTTAAAGTTAGTCTTTGAGTTATCTTTTCAATGTCTTTTCTAGGGTAGATTCACCAGGCTCTTTCTATAGTGTGGATTGTTGCCTTTAGTAAGAGCATGTCGTCCATCTTGCCATTCACTCCACCAGTGGTGAAGAGACTCCTAGGATGGAAGAAATCAGCTGGTGGGTCTGGAGGAGCAGGTGGAGGAGAACAGAACGGACAGGAAGAAAAGTGGTGTGAGAAAGCAGTGAAAAGTCTGGTGAAGAAGCTAAAGAAAACGGGACGATTAGATGAGCTTGAGAAAGCTATCACCACTCAAAATTGTAATACTAAATGTGTTACCATACCAAGGTAAGTGTTGCTTGATCTGAAGTTGATGATCTGCTATTGAAAATTGTTTATGGGAACCTAAAGAAAAACGCTTGAGTTTTTGTTACGTTCAAATCACCTGTATAGTGATGATTAAAATATGATTTTAACAATCTGTCATATTAATTTTTGACTAGTTAAGTCTTACTTTATAAATCATTTTCTTGAGCAGTGAGGTTTATTCAAGCAAATACATTTAGATACAATTTTATCTTTGTTGCTTACATTTGTATATTTTTTATTTCTGTGGTGGGATGACATTTGAATAAAGATTCAAAGCTCTTTCTGTTACTGGCAAGTAGTGACTGACAGTTTTTTTCCTCCTTTCCTTGCTCAAAACTTAAGTTAGTAAGGCGTTACAAGAGGCTGTTGACTTATTGGTAAATGTTATTCAGTTCTTGGCTTTAGGTTGCAGTGTTATTTCTGGAAAAGAACAGTATATAAAGCAGCTTCATGTCGTGTAGTAGTCAGAATCTATCTTAAAAACTGGCCTCTTACATTGGAAGGACCCGATACTTAAGAGGTTGAAGTTTTGAGTGTAAATTTAATCATTTGCAGATAAGTACCACTATAGAAGTGTGTTTTTTAAAAATAAAGCAGCTAGTGGTTTTTAAGTGTTTCTTTTCTTTGTACATTAACAGATTTTTTGAGTGTCAAAAATAAAGAATTTTCTAAAATGAATGCAATGTCATATATGTATATGCTTGCATATAGGATGTAAAATTGTTCTTTCCTTTGAGCTTTGATAAACACACTCCTAGTGCTTGAGCATAAAAGATCCCAGTAACTCTAGCTTGTTTACTTGCAAATAGTCACAGTAGACTTATTTCCTATGTTTTTGAGGCTGGTTATCCATTTTTGTTACTTTTTACTTGTTTCATGTGTATTTTAAATAAGCCACCTATCTTGGTGTATTCTTTTGCTTTACAAATGCTGTATAGTCTCTTGCTGTATGTGGGGTGGTTTCTAGACACAAGGGATACCGTGATGATAAAACACAAGGGTTCCTGCCCTCCTGAGAGATAGATACATGTACTAAACAAGTGAACAAATCAATATAATTTGAGATGTGATAATGAGTACATAAACAACAGATACTCAGTATGATAGAAAATGCCTGAGGGATGAAGATGTTGGATTGTGATGCTTGAGGTAAGGCCTAAAGATCAGGAGCTAGCTGAAGAGGCTTTTAGGCAGAGAAAAGAGCCTCTGAGGTGGGAAACAGCTTCTCATATTAGGCTATTTAAAAGAAGGCAGAGTTTAAAACATGATAGGAATCTGATCCTTTGTAAAGTACTGTGGGAGCTGAATGAATGTTGGTCTAAATATAAACCAGGGAGGGAAGGAGAGGGGAAGTGGTAGTGGTATTAGGTTGGATATAAGCATAATAGTCATCTGAGATGCTGTGAAAATATTCTACATGCATGATATAAGTGGGCGTGGCTATGCTAGCAACAAAGTGAATGGATTCTGCATGTATGTTGGAAGTGGAACTGACATGTCTTGATATGAATTGGTTAAGAATAAGTCAAGGTATATTAATCTTTCATTTTGTGAGTGGTGGCATTTCAGTTGAAACGTATTAAATGATCAGTGTGTGACTGATAAGATCTTTCTTAGTGGTGTTTGCTCTTGAGTTATTTGTTTTCTGATAAGAGAATTGTTAAAAGAGAAAATAAGTATTTTATAAAAATGTGGTAGGCTTCGGATTTAGCTCAGTGGTGTAAGTGCCTGCCTGGCAAGTGCGAGGTGTACTGAGTTTGATCCCCGGTGCCCCCAACCCCCCCCCAAAAAAAGTGATAGGTGTTATGAAACAAGTACACTTAGGGAACTGCCTCCAGAGAAGATTTGTGGAACTTTGCCTTTAGAGGAATATTGGTGTCAGGATTGAGTCTAGCTGGTGCAAAAGTGGAATTACTCAGAAGTGTGTTTTATCAGGAGTGATTCTGTGGAATGAATACTGTGGAGATCAAGGAAGATTGGTCAAGGATTCCCAGCAAGGAGTTATCTGTAGGGTATAGAATGAAGGGTGCAAGAGATGTCAAGGGTGACTCTGAATATAGTCAGGAATCACAACACACTGTGTAGCAGAAAGTTTGTAGTCAACTTGAGTGTGACTGGAGTGTGGAAACACTGAAAAGGCTTAGTTAAGTCCAGAAGGCCCAGCAGTCAGATTAAATTTGAAGTAATAGCATTTGACTCCATTGAGAAAACAAAATAGGCTGTCATGAGTAGAGTTAGGGAGACCACTTAGTAAGTTACCTCAACAAAAGGAACTCGGTGGCCCATGCAGCGATGGGTATGTGGTTTTACCTGGTTCCACTCAGGTCACATTGCTGTTGTAGCAGTTGGCCCACCGAGAAGCCGGAGGGTAGAGCTCTTTCATGGAGAAGGCAAGGGAGTAGCCTGGTGATTACAGGTAACTCCGTGGATGTTTAGACTGTGAGGGTCAATTTAGACACATTTTTTTCTTTATTTTTTTGTTCTCTTTATGGCATATTTTAGAAATTTCTTTTTATAGTCTAGAGCTTCTTCATCATGAGTTTTCCTCTCTCTTTTACCTGATTACTGAAGGTTAAAAAAGTGATCAGTGCTCGTTGCCTTGTTTTTCAATATCTAGAGTCCCTTGAAGTTTAGAAGTTTGCCTAATTTGGTGTATGTTTAATATAGATCTGCTGATCGTTAGAAACTTAACTTCTTACGCTACATTTCAGTGCCACATATTTTCTAACTTTAGGAGAGCAGTTACATTATTTCTTGAATAGTAACAGTCAAACAATAAATTTTAGATGCAGTTCATTCTATATGTAAAACGTAAAATATGGGGAGTAGAAGGGAAAAAAGCTTTGTTATGGGTAAATGCAAACCTTAGTTTAAAAGATTTAAAATGAGATAAAATAGATGTAGTGAAACTCATTTACTTTAAAGTATTAATAAAATACTTGAAGATTTTTCAGACTTCAAAACGTAAGTAAATTCAGTTGATGAACATAAGAAATTTCTGAATTAAAAAATGTCATTTTTAGTTGTAATACTTGTTTTGCTGACTTTTAGCAGTTTCTATCCTTGTATCTCTGCCTCACTAATATTAAAGGTAGAATTAACAAGTTCCTGAGGGCTTGAACCCCTTAAAATGAATATGCATGATTGTCCTATGCTGCCTGATGGGGCAGTCATGCCTTCACTACTGGTGATTTAAAACCTTCTGACAGCGGCAAATACGAATTATGGCTCCATCATGAATTTGTTAAAGTTAGACACAGTCCTGGCTTTACATCCCTCCTGGTTCCCTCATCTAGTTACTCTTGCCGCATCTGAAGGTTTGGAAGCTTGCAGTTGTATGTAGTGACACGAAATAATTCAGGGACAGAAGTTAACCTATAAGCTGCAGTTGACTAACATTAAGTTTCATGAAGCTTTTCTGTCTCAAAATTTTTACAATTGAGGGAAATTTTCATGAGACAGTCAGATAGTAAGAATGGCAGTTGCTATTTAGTAAAGAATTAGATGTGAGAAGAAAAAATGACTTTCATATTAGTTTATAATAAAGCAGAATCCAAACTTCGTGGGAATGGAGTTCTGTAAAATTAAAAACAAGTTAGTGTAGTGTTCAAAGTAGTAATTTTATAATAACTATTATACATATATTTATCAGAATGCAAAATTTGTTATTTTCATAAGCAGAAGTCATAAGGGCTTCCTTAAGGTGATTTGGTTATGTAATTGCATATTTTCATCTTTTATCCTAAGGAAACAATTAGGAACACAAAGATTTCTGGTACCTTTCAATATTGCTTGTAATAGTAAAAATCCTAACCCTTAGTTGCCTTGATGCTAATGTTAAGAAAGCATTTCTAACTCAGACCACAGCTGAACAAGTAGAAGAAAAATTTCTTTGCAATCTCATAAAAATAGGTGAAAAAATTACAAATATCTGAAATCATGATAAAGTGGATTTATTTTAAAAAGAAAAGAAACATGGCAAGATAAAGTTTATGGCAGGCATCTGAGGATGATTTAGCTACAACAAATCTATTAAATAAGATAACCATGTATTCACATTTAAAAGAATTTGATTACCTTAATGAATCTGGAAAAAGCTTTCTTATTAGATTCAGTATTCATGTTAACAAATAGCAAATTTTCTTAATTTCGTAAAGTATGCATCTAAAAATGTTATTCTTAATCATGAAACGTGGGAGAGAAATATGATATGCTAAATTGTTAAGTGATTATCTGTGGACCTAAAAAAATATCGTGCAGTTTTTTCCTAGAATTTTGAATATAAAAGCATGTTTTATCTTAATAACCAGCATAATTTAAATAGAAACTTTTTGCCAATTTTAAAATTTTGAGACAATCTTGGTTGGTATCCCAGGCTGATCTTCCACTCATAGCTGATATTATAGGCATGTGCCACCATGCCTGGTGCTGGTTTTATTTTTATGTAAGTTAAGGCTGCTTGTTTTTTTGTATTCTTAAAAATCAGTTTTATTTGAATGACAGTTCTAGTTTTGTTAGTAGTCTTTTATTTTTTTAAAGAGTTACTTGAAAACATGAAGTAGTATTTGCATATCATTGAAAATCAGCCACAGAGTGTACAGTGGAAAAATACATCACTGCTCCCTCCCCTGTTCTTCTGCTCCCCAGTTCTCTTCTTCAGTAGTTTTATTACTGGTGACTCATGTATCCTTCAGGGTAATAACATTTCTTTTGAATGTTGTCAGTGACTTTTGGATTTTGTTTTGCATATTCTATCTTAAACATCACCATAATTAAAGTAACTGCAGATTGCCAACGTTTATTTCTGACTTCATATATATGCCCTTTTATTTGTCTCATTAAGTTGGAAATAGCTTGAGACATCTTTGAACTGAAACTGGAATGCAATTTTTTTTTAAACTATTACCTTTACATTATTTCAGGAGGAGTTAATTCACTCTTCTCTTGCATGCATAGGGGAATGTGCCTGAGGGGTGGGC